CCATCGTTGCATCTAGATGGGAGCTTGCTAGCTTTTAAGATCCCAGTCGCTACTCGCCAAAGTAGGAGGTGGAACAATGTTTTGTATAGTATATTATGCCAATTGAGCTTGATGTCCCCTGCGACTATGTTCCCAAGCCTGCAGGTTCAACTACTTGGTCCCTCTGGGTAGGTGGCTGTGACCAAGCAGTGACCACAACCTTGCCCCTTATCAGCTCTACTATACACCTGGGAATTCTGATCATTCACATGAACTTACATGACCTTTGTCTGCCAACCCTATATACGTTCTTGGATACCCTCCCCATTTCATAGACATATCTAATCGTTTAGCCTGTCCACTCATCTATCCACCCATAAACCCATGTTTGCCTTCACTGACAACACAGTATTTTATGTGCAAAAGGGTTCGTATTTGTTGTCTGTACCTCCCTTGTACCTCTCTTTTGTCTTTCTCATCCTCAATGGTGCCATATTGGTCACTCACATTTGGTATATTGCCCTTCTCTTTACCCAAATCAATACTTATCTCTATCTATCTAACAGCCTTCTTTTCCCTTCTCTCCCCTCCCACCCCTGGTAACCAACAAAGAAAATTTCCTTTTATAGATAACCCTTTCCTTAACTTTTACAATAACAGACTAATACAATATTTGTCCTTTTGTGATTGACTTATTTCACTCAGCATAATGTCCTCATGGTGTCTCTGGTTTCTTTGTTCCATGTTATTTTCTGTGCTGAGCTCATTATGTTTATGAATTGTGTTATTTCCTTTGTTGCTGTTGTTTTAGTGTATGCTGAATAGTTGTGCTTTTCCTCTTTTTTATTGTGATATGAAGGTTCCTCATTTTTCTTTGAGGTTACCCTATGATTTATAATTTTATCCCCGAGTTTAGAACAGTCCATTCTATCTTGCAACTCTCAACTTCCTTACCATTTAGAAGTTCTGTAACTACACAGTCTTTTCCCTCTTTTTGTTTGTAGTTGTCTTCACTTGCCAATTGATGTCTCTGGTTCCCTGTTTATAATCTTGTAAGCTCATTTTACTTTGGATATGTGCGTGGCTGTAGTTTCTGGGTCGTGTCATCTTGTGTATTAATGGTCAGTTGTTATTTGCTATTTTTGGTTCTCTGTTCAAAGGACTCCCTTTAGCATGTCTCGTAAGGTTGGTCTGGTTTTAACAAATTCCCTTAGTCTCTGCTTATTTGGGAATCTCCTAATTTCACCATCATATTTGAGGGACAATTTTGCTGGGTATATAATTCTTGGTTGAAAATGTTTCTCTTTCATGGTTTTATATATACCATCCCATTGCCTTCTTGCTTGCATGGTTTCTGCTGAGAAATCAGAGCTTATTCTTACTGGCTGTTTGTAGGTAACTTTTTGTTTCTTGTGCTGCTTTCAGATTCTGTCTTTGTCTTTGGTTTTGATGAGTTTGATGGTGATGTGTCTTGGTGATTTTCTTTTGGGGTCTGCCCTGTTGGGGGTTCATTGGACTTCCTGAATGGGTATATTCTCATCTTTCATCATTTCAGGGAAGTTTTCCTCCAGCAAATCTTGGACAATTTTCTCAGTGGTTTTGTTTTTCTCTTCCTGTTCTGGAATTCAGTGACATGTAAGTTATTCCTTTTGATGGTATCCCACATGAACCTTAGGCTTTCTTCATTTTGTTTTGATTTTTTTTCTGATT